GTGTGTGTGTGTGTGTGTGTGTGTGTGTGTGTGTGTGTGTGTGACAGTTGTGTGAATTGAGCCGACCTCTGCCGAGCTGTGATTTGGCTCTCCTCCACGTCAGGCAGTAAATTCAAACTCCACCTGCTGCAGCTGTTTAAAATGCAGATTCCTGTCCTGTTGTTGTCCTACAGTGTCAGTCAGCAGCGATTATTTTTAAACCCTGACAGCCAAGTGAAGGAGGCACATCTGCCCGTCTGCAAGTGGTAAATGTCACTCAGTGGAGGGAGGAAAACAAGAGATTTCCTTTATTAGAGACATTAATCTTTACGTTTCCTGTCTGAAGAGCTGTTATTTGTCAAACGTGTCATTTTCTGACATTTAGCGAGACTAAAAATCTGTGTTTTGTGTCCGTCCTGCAGAGGAGGACGTGGTGTCCATGGCTGACTCCACCATCACTGTGGACGACATCGAGGGGGAGCTCTTTAAGATCGAGAGGATCAGGGACGTCCTGGTCCGGAGGGAGTCCGAGCTAAGATACATGTGAGTGAGCAATCTGGATTAAGTGTGCTGGATTAAGAAGAAATTTCATCTGTCTGCAACATACCTTTTTGAACCAGAGGACAGATTTCTTTCTTTTTTTTTAAGTAAAGAGAAAATAGAAAAAGAGGGAAAAACAAAGAGAAAATGTGATTAGAAAGATTGAAATAAAGATTAGAAATATATTAAATATACACCAAGAAAGCACAGGTACACTCAACATCTGTCCGCTCACCTGAAAAATAAATGAACAAATAAATGGATGGCATGGATATACACATACCCATACATAAATATAGATATACTGTACATACATACATGCATACATTCATGCAAACTGTAAATATATACACACAGACATATATACACACTCAGTGACCTGTCAGAACCCCCCGGATCAGAACACCTGTCTGTGAGCAGTTCAAGATTCAAGATTCAAGATTCAAGATACTTTATTGTCATTCACATCACATGTTACATGAGATGGAACGAAATTAAGAGTCACAGCCCCAGTTACATCCAAATAAAAAAATATAAAAAAATATAAAATGTTAAAGTATAAAATACAAAATATAAAGTCGCTACAAGAGCACAATATTACAGGTAGGAAAAGTGTATAGCTAAGAGCAGTGCAATAAGGGAGAGTGATGGGAGTTTAAGAGTCGCACAGCTTCTGGAATGAAGCTGTTTCTCAGTCTGGTTGTCCTGCATTTGATGCTCCGCAACCTCCTACCTGAGGGGAGCGGGACAAAAAGTGAGTGTGCTGGGTGAGTAGGGTCCTTCATGATGCAGGAGGCCCTTTTCCTGCATCTGGAGGTGTAGATGTCTGTGGCGGTGGGGAGGTGTACTCCAACAGTTCTTTGTGCCGCCTTCACCACTCTTTGCAGAGCTCTCCTGTCTGCAACAGAGCAGCTGCCGTACCACACGTTTATGCTGGAGCACAGCACGCTCTCCACCACACATCTGTAAAAGGACGTGAGGACTGAGTTGTGAGCATGCGTGTATATACAAGATTTCTTCAATGGAATATTTAATAGTGACTGTGGAGGACCGGAGACCCAACCCCCAAGACACGAGGCAGACATAGGCAGACAACTAAATTTGCGAAATGTCATAATTGAATGTTGTTTTTGTTTAAAGCACATTTTTCCATTTATGTCCCAAAAATGATGCATTTATAAAAGTAAGAAAAAATGTCAAAATGCCTTTTATCCTCTCCTATCATCACCCTCCAGTGTAATCCAGCTGCCCTCTATTAAAATTCAGGAGCTCCACCTTTGCTCCGTGTGAGCAGGCTAATGCATGGATATTTATTCATAGTCCCCTGAAAGATGGGCAGCAGATAGTAGAGAAAATGAGAGGACTGACAAACAGGAGGATTTAAACCACTGTGTAAGTCTTTCCCCCCCCCCCACTATCATGCCTGCACAGGATGGATGACATTCAGCTGTGTAAAGAAATCACCCGTCTGAAGAAGGAGCTGCACAAACTGGTGTCCATTCCAGGTAGGAGACCTTCAGGTAGCTCCGCCTGTTGATGGAGGATGTAACCAGACCTGGTGAAGAAAAGACGTGTTCACTGTAAAAAAAAACACTTTGTTCCAAAGTTCACCAGAAATAACAGAGATGTAACTCTGTGGGAGTGATGAGTGCAGCAGCATTAGTGCAGAGTAAAATATTAATAATAATAATTTGAAGGCGGTGAAAATTTAGGCAGTCGTCTGTTTTACATTGCATTTCTTTTTTWAATTTATGTTACTCTGTAGAATAGATTTTACGTTAACCGTAAGGATTTTTTTACACTTATTTGTCAAAAAGTACTTTTTAATATATTATCAAYGCAAATTTATAAATAAAAAACATAAAATACTGAAGTGGTGAATACCTTTTTATTGACACTGTAATTAATAAATGAGTGTTCATATTTTCCATGTTGGATCTTTTAGCCATATTTTCCTTTTTCTGACATTCTCCTGTGTACAGACTGGTATAAAAGTGTGTTATTYAAATAAAACCAACGAAATTAAATGAGTTCATGTATGAGACATAATGTGTTCCTCTGTGTTTCAGATCACGACAAGTCCAATGAGGATCGACAAAAAGAGGAAGAACTCCTGCAGCAGATTCACAAGCTGGTGGAGACCAGAGATTTCCTGGTGGACGATGTTGAGTTCGAACGACTCAGGTTCAAATTTCTATTTATGGTTTAAAAATTTATAACCTAGAAGAAGAAAAAGAAACACATCCTCAGTCGCTCGTTAACGTTGCACAATTGCACAAAACAAAAAATGGTTACATTTAATATTAATCAAACAAGTTTGTTCTTTTGTAAAAACAGAAATATTTGTGATGTTTTTTATGAATGTTTCTTAATTCTTGGTTGCAGGGAGAAAGAAGAGGATAAAGAAATGGCAGATTTTCTGAAGTCCAGAATGCCAAGAAACATAAAGAAGACAGGTATTAAAGAATAAAATAAATCGTTGAACATTTCTTTTTTTAGTGAAAAACAAATGTGAGAACACTTTGTTTGGGGTTGGTAACTTATGAAACTAAATTGTGATGAACTGAAGATATTATGGGTCTCTGCACAGCATTCCTGCTACTGTTGAGTATGTGTTTTTTTGTAAGAAAGTTCTGCCGATGTGCAACAGTGCTGCATTAGATGTGCACACTTCTAGCGACTCACCTGGAGTTTGTGCACCATATGAAAAAAATCCAATTAGTGTTATTCCCAGGGAAAATCTGTGCGCTTTTTCTTCGTTTTTGATCATTTTGTTTCTCCATGTAACCATCAATAGTCCCAGATCCGTAATACACAAGTTCCAAATGACGTTTGAGTCGTAGAGAAAAAAAATGTTAAAACCCTTTTTTCTATCTTTTCCTTCATACTTTCTCTTGACTGTGTTTTTAGGCTTGCCAACTAGAAGGACGCCAACGAGGGCTCAGCAGACCTCCTCCCCGTTCGCCAAGACCGGCCTCACCCTCCTGAAAGAGTGCTGCGGTTTTACCTGCTCCATCATGTAGACCAGGGGTCTCACTGACGGACTGATGAGAACTCACAGACCCCGACGATCATTCCTGTTCCAACCATCCAGTCAGAGACAGGTTTACAGGAGACACATGGATCTGTGCACACCTGTTGAAAATGCTGCAGTTTTCCTATTTTTCAACTTCCTGTTTCTCTTGTTTTTCTGCATTTCACCACAACCTATATATTGTATTTTTTTTTTTGCCCCACAACCAAGTTCAGCTCATACATTTAGTAAATTAATTGGATTGAACTCCACGGCTCGCCCACCACTTAGATATTTAAAGATTTCCTGAAGCCGCAGTAACTGTCCTGTCCTTGTTATAGTAGCTGTGTTGCAGTGAGCAGAGCGTTCTGTGCATGCCCGGTACTTTATAATTACCGTACAGGAGACAACACTAATGAAACTGACATTAATCAGGAGTCGTGTAAAGTTTTGTCTAAAATGGATGTGACCTTTTGGGAAGTTGTGGTTCGAGAAAGAGAAAGCAGTGTTGCATTAGTTGACTTCCTTTTTATTATTTGTTTTTTTTTTCTGAACGATGGCACAAACTTCAACACGAAGCTCTGTTTTGTGCAGACAACCGATTTTGTTTTTTATTCTCCCCAGGCTTGTGTAGAAAAAAAAAGTCATCAGATCATATTTGTTATTTTTTATTTATTTTGTGTGACCTTTTTGAATTAATAAGCTGGTTCAACACTCAGCGGACGCTGGATACCATTACACAACATCATCATCATCACACACMCCAACACCCACTCAAAACACATTAAAGGCCATAAAACTCCAGTTGATCTGCAAAACTCTTCAGCGGTTTTTTTTTTTGCTTTTCAGTGTAAAATCCTTTTTAGTCTCAGGTGGAGGAGTTCTAATATCTGGACGTCTTCATGAGTGATGGAGCGACTAAACAGAACAGAGCACTTAGACAGAAAAAAAAGAGTAAGCACAGAACTATTTTCTGTTAGTGATGATTGTTATTTGAAGATGATCCTTACTATAAGTGTGATGTTTGTCTTTGGGAGAAACGGAGCAGTTTTCTTTCCTCGGTTTCATCTCTGGATCTGTTGACATTTAGTCTCAGTCTCYTCACAGAGGCGTTGGGTCGTGTTTCTCTCAGCAGCCATGTCTGACGCTGCCATGGAGATCCTCACAGGACTGAAATGATGCGTCCAACATTCAAAATGACCAGAGACCAGGACTGAAACGTTTAGTGAGTCAGGTTATTGCATTATTAAAATAAAATGTTCATGCAGAAATTCAGCGTTTCCGTTTTTTTCCTCTGTGGAATAAATAAAGCTCTTCACTCCTTTATTGCGAGGCCTTCATCTCATCAGTGTTTGTTGTGGAGCCTGTTGACGGAGTAGTTTTGTCTCCGCTCTCTAGTTTGCACAAATAAAACATTTCACGAGTGTGCTTATGTCCCCTGCCTGCAAGAGTCAGAATTCATCACCTTACGAGAGGAAACCACAGACAGCAGCTGGTGTGAAGTGACTGAAAGCAGGGCAGTTGCATGAAAAAGAGAGAAAAGGGAGTGAGAGGTGGTTGGGGGAAGGGGGTCTTGTTTGTTGCTGTGAGTCATCTCGGATGGAAACACTGAACTCCCACGAGGACTCGTGGTGGAAAAGGTCGAGGCTGTCGTTCAAACGCCAGAATCCTGCAGTCGTCCTTCACATTTCACCGTGATTCACCGTGAAGTCCTGCAGACAAATCCACCTGACAGATGAATGAAGACGCTGTTTGTACTCTGTGTGTACTCTGTGTGTACTCTGTGTGTACTCTGTGTGTACTATGTGTACTGGATGAGAGGTACAGTAGCTTTCACGGCTTTGTTACTATGGTTGCCGTGGCTTTATGATACACTTCTTGTTTCATGCAGTTGTGTGGATTGGAATATACGGCTGCATCATGTCCTGTAAAGGYGGAGAACAAGTTTCTTTAATGATCAAATTTTTTATGTTTTCAAAAATACAAGTGAAAACAATTTTACCTGACAAGAATTTTAAAAGTGTCAGTGTTCTCTGGTGTTTTTCTGACTGGTTTTATAATTAAAGTCCAACACCCATCATTTTTTCATATTACACACAGCAAAAATCCATCCATCCATCCATCCATCCATCCATCCATCCATCCTTCCATCCATCCATCCATCCATCCATCCATCCATTGATCCCACCATTCATTGACCCATCCATCCATCCATCCATTGACCCAACCATCCATCCATCCATCCATCCATCCATCCATCCATCCATCCATCCATCCATCCATCCATC